TGGGGGGGAGGGCTGCGAGGGGCGGCGGCGCCGGGAGGATAAATGAGGAACGAGGGTTGGTCAAAGAACCTCGGAATCTGCGGTCTCCACCGATTTCAAAGCTGTTAGTTGGCGTCGTCAGATCGCGCCCTTCCTCTGAGAAGCTCAGGGCGGCGCACGTGGCTTTCGGGATCCCTGTAATCCTCGCCGCGCACCTGGAGATAGAGAAGGCTGGACCAATAAACTGGGGAGTTCCGTGGGAAACCCGAACCCGGGCCTCCTCGGGACTAGATCCAGTACACTTGTATGCAAATCCCGATTTCCCTGAAGAAAGGGACGCGAAGGAGTTAGCCTGGCCTGAAGGGAATCACGCATTCTGCGGGCATCCCGTGGATTTCAACGGGGCTGGCGTGTTTCTGGATGTCCGAGGGAGGCAGGGTGGGTGTGGGGAAAGCTCCTTTTCTTCCCTGGGAATGACCTGCTCGGCGCCCTCTTTTCCCGAGCGGTGACGGGCTGCTGGGGGAAGTGCTCAGTCCCACGGCCACGGCCCCTCCCCTTTTCTTTCCGGCTCCTGCACCTGAGGAAGGAGGCGTTGGGGTTTGGTTGGCAGCCAACCACCGGACGGGCAGCCCGATCGGGAGGGCGGGTTCACGCGAAAGCCCACTGCCTTGCCAGACCCGGATACCCCACCCGTGAAAGGAACTTCTGGGATTTCTCTGCCTCCCTGAGATAAATGAGAGGCGGAATGGAAGTTACTTTGGGGAAAGTCACTTGCGCTTGAGTTTCTTCCAAGGAAGGGCAATATTTTCAGAGTGAGATGGGGGGGGGGAGGGGAAGGGAAGGGAGGATCCGGAATCGATTCTTGCTTACATCACAGGTGCAAATGAAGCGTGTATCTGTTGGAGCCACCGGGGGTTTGGCTAGTGTGGCGCGGGGAAGAGGCAGACAAAAAGAGAGCCGGGCTCTGGAGGGAAGCTGCTGCCCTCTTAATGCTACGTGATTAAATTTATTTGCAGCAAGACCGTTCCACATCAATCATTTCCGATTTCTTCACACGGCCGGGCCGAAGCTCTTTGGTGCCGGAAGCTTCATTCATCTTGTGGCCCAGAGTTCTTCCCCCTGAAATCTTTCAGGAGCACAGGCAGGCTTTTAATATAATTATCCCTCTCTTCTTTCTCCCCCCCCCCCACCCCAACGCCTGACTGGGGTGAGAGGAGAGGAAACAATACATATCAAGCATAGCAAATACGCTTTTTTAGTAATGTTGTTGGCCATCTGTC